AACAGAATCACAACAACAGCCTCTCATCCAATGTCCAACGGCATTATTGAACGATTTCATCGACATTTAAAAATCTTCTCTCAAGGCTCACGAGACCAATAACTGGGCTGAAACACTACCAGTTGTTATGTTTGGTATTCGGACAGCCGTAAAGGAAGATCTACAGTCATCTTGTGCTGAACTGGTGTACGGCACAACTCTCAAGCTGCCTAGTGTATGATAACGTCATCTAAGATATCTCCGTATGACACACAATTTATCACGAATCTTCGGCACAGAATGCAACAATTCAATCCAATAGCAACATCTGTACATTGCCAAGAAAAATGTTACGTAAGTGCTACCTTAAAGTCGTGTACGCATGTATACTTACGTGTCAATCGAGTAAAGCCACCTCTGTGCCAACCATATACAGGTCCGCATAAAGTCCTTTCTAGAACGGACAAAACTTTCACAATTGATATTAACGGTCTGAAATCTACTGTGTCTATAGACCGTGTGAAACCAGCTTATTTGCTTTCGGACTCTAATTGCCTGAACTGAAAACAAATAAAGACTTAAAGACAGTTCAGCAGAATAAATCTGCAAACGAACTCTCTAAGACACAAACTGTCACCAGATCGGGAAGACATGTTCACTTCCCTAAGAAATCTTGCTTCTTACATAACAATTTAAAACATTTTTTTTTTTAAATTCATATCTTAACATATTTCTTTGTTATTTCATGTTTATTATATGTGTCAATACCTTGTTATATATTGAATTGCATTTTGATCTTTTCTAATTTTATATTCTAATTTTGTAATCATGTAAAAAAATACCCGACAGTACGGATCCTCTGAGATAATTTCATAACCTGATGTCGTTCCTTTGAATAGCCATTAAAGGAACTGGGGGGAAACCAACTCTGATGGTGATGGCGATAAGAGAGCGCGCCTTGCGCCCTCCGATAAGTGTGGCAACCCTAGAGGAGAAGTTTCTTACGAGTAGCGAGCAGAGCGAAACAGGCAGGCTGTCGGGAGTATGCGCGATGTTCCTAAATAAAGCTTAATTTTTATTGTGCGCTATGTCTTGTTAATATTTATATCAATGCAGTAGGAACATAAATCTGTGATATGGAATTCGAGGATTGGTGGTAAAAACATAACAGGAAATATCCATAAATTATTACTTTCACTTCCTCATTCCCACTCACTCATCTTTAAAAAAGAGGGCATGGAGATAAGATTTCTTGGAAAGGAGATAGGGAAACCAAAAAAAAAAAAACACAAAACGGACGTCATGGAGACTCTATGTGTTTATATATATAAAAGGGCGAGAGCACTAGGCGAGATCATTTCTTTCCATTGGGAGCCATGTCGCTGTTAGATGTTTTTCCGACTCAACGGATTTCGAACGGGGAGGATTTGAAGACGCTGAAGCAAATCGCCAACCTGAAAATCTTTTTGGCGTGTCATTGTGCGAAATTTATTCCGCATTTACCAGCTCATCAAGGGATCGTTTCTTTCAAGCAGGATGTCGAATCCTCCGACCTGCTCGTTCAGAATATATATAGAAATTTATTCGACTCGCAACAAACGAAAGAGGAATCCCCCTTCTCTTGGAACCGGGTGGATCGAGCTTTGAGACGGCCCATTCAAACAGACCGGAGATATACGGATTCGCGCATGAGTTTTCGGTGGAAGAATATTTTTCTCACGAAACGATACTTTACGTTTGGAGTGAGAACGACGGCCGAGGACGAAGTTCATATTTATCAGACCACAGCCGCTCCCTCGCCTATTACGAATCATCGTCCCCCGATCTGAAGGAAAGAAGTTTTAAAGTCACCGACAGGATGAAATTTAAGAAATATATTCTAAGACCTTTCCAAAACTATGTCGTCCCTCCAAAAACGCAATATCTCATCGTCACGTCCCAGAAGAGCCTCTTTCTCGTCGATCGGTGCTCGTGGACTCAAAACAATTGAAAAAGGAGATTCCTTTCCAAAACGCCGATAGTGTTTCAAGAAGAGGAGAACCCACAGCCACCTTCACCCATCCCTTCCTTAGATGATAAGAGGAGATGGACCAAACAGTCATGGCCCGAAACAAGATCGACCCGTCAACGGAATGAAATCGAAGTCATCACGATCGAAGATGAGGAGGAAGAAAAAAAATTACCTCTTAAAAAACGGTTGACTTACCGCAATCTGCCTGGCGTGGAAGATCCGCTCAAGAACCCAGAATCTTCTTCTTCTTCCCCGACTTGTTCAGACAGGCAGCCTCTTTCGGACTCCTCTCAGACGTGTCCAGAACCTCTTCCAGTATCCTCTTCTTCTTCTCCAACCTGTCCCGAAATCGTAGAGGTAGAATTTCAGCCTGGTCCACAAGCTTCAACGGGTCCAAAAATCATAGAGGTAGAACTTCAGCCGGGTCCACAAGTTCCAACGGGTCCAGAGATCATGGAGGCAGAATCTCAGCCTGGTCCAGACATCATGGATCCCCCCCACTCATCCCAAAGAGACTCCAAGTGTTTCAAGACAACCTTGGGAGGATCCAGCCCTTCCCGTATGGAATGATTATATGGACTTACAAAGTTTGATGGAACAGGAAGAAGAAAATAATACGGATGGGTGGGTTAAAGATTGTTTAGATCAGTTAATCTCGAATGAAATTGAACTGTTATGGAATTGTATTTCTGAAATCACATCGGAAATGGGATAAAAACAAAAAAAGTTTTTTTTAACAAATTGTAGGAGGGTCATGATATCAATAAAAAAATATTATACATAGTCCAATCTTGGTGCTCCACGTTTTCCAAAAGAAGGACCGCATTCAAAGAGTGATTGTGTAGAGCCTTCACTTCAGTTCTTTTTTTCCAAGATGAGAGGGTCCCAAAAGAGCTACCTAATTCAAAGAGAGAGGGTGTAGAGCGTTCATTTCAGTTTGCCAAGGTTAGTTCCAAAATGATGACCCATGTCAAAAGAGAGATTGTATAGAGCGTTCATTTCAGTTTTTTTCCAAGTGTAGGTGGGAGAGGTCTCAAAATGGCACCCTATTTTCAAAGAGAGATTGAGTAGAGCGTTCATTTCTGTTTTCTTCCAAAGTTAGGGAGTCTTCAAATGGCTACCCATTTCAAAGAGAGAGAGAGAAGGTATAGAGCGTTCATTTCAGTTTTCCAAGGTTAGGGGGGGGAAATCCTCCAAAATAGCTATCGATTCAAAGAGAGAGGATAGAGAGTGTTCATTTCCATTCTCCAAGATTAGAACGTCGCGAAATACCTTCTGAATTCAAAGAGAGATCGTGTAGAGCACTCATTTCCAGTTCTCCAAGATAAGAAGAGGGTCTGCTTTTCCCAAAATGGCTTTCCGAATTCAGGGACAGCGGGGTGCAGACTTCAGTTTCCCCTCCCCCCAAGAATAGAGGGCCCCAAAATGGCTTCCCATTTCAAAGAGAGAGGAAGGGGCGTTCATTTCAGTTATCCAAGACAGGGTCGTCTGCTTGTTCCCAAAATGGCTTCCCAATTCAAAGAGAGAGAAAGAGTGCAGAGCGGTCATGTTCATTCTCCAAGATGGGGTCGTTCGCTTTTCTCAAAATGGCGTCTCAATTCACACACACAGATCGTATTTTATTCTCGAGTGTCAAGATGTAGAAACATCTTTTTACTCGACTTCTGATAAGGATCGGGTGAGGGGGAGAAAGAGCATGGTGAAAGGAGTGTGGGAGGCGGAAAAAAGAGAGTGACGTCCGCACCAGCGGCAGAGAAAAAAAAAGGGGGTGGCAAGTTCAGTGTCGTTATAAGATGCAGCCGCGGGTGGTAAACCGCAGATTGAGTTTAGCGTGAATGAGTCAATTAAGGTTGTGATTCTTATGTGGGAAGGATGTCACAAGGGCAACGATGTTTTTCTCTGGGATGCGGAGAGTGTCTGAGAGTGCTAATAAGGCTATTACTGTGGGTTTGTACTGAATAAAAGAAGTTGACCGCTAATCGTTTGGAATATACCAAGGAGCATTGATAATTTCTCGTAGAATTTTATTTTGTAGAATTTGTAATTGTTTAATATTGGTTTTAGCTGCATGTCCCCAGATTGGTGCTGCATAAAAGAGGACTGGGCGCAGTATGGAGCGATATAGAATTAATTTGTTTCTAGTAGATAAGTTGCTTTTTCTACCAAGAAGAGGTCGCATAGTAGCTGTGGTGATTTTAAATTTTTGTACTACGGACCGGAAGTGGGTTCTGAAGGTAAGTTTTTGGTCAAGGGTGACTCCAAAGTATTTGGTTTCATTAATCCAGTCTATTTCTTCGTCAAATATTTCAGGGGGTGGAGGATATTATTTCATGTTTCCTTTACGGAAAATTATTGCCTTAGTTTTATCAGTGTTAATTTTAATCTTCCAAAGGGTAAACCATTTTTCCAGTTTTTAGATAGCTTTGGAGTTGGTTTCTTACGGCGATAACTGTGCAGGCTTTAGTAAGTATGGCGGTGTCATCGGCAAAGTGTGCAAGATGAACAGAAGGGTCTTTAGGGATGTCTTGTGTATAAATATTAAAAAGGTACGGCGAAAGTGCCGACCCCTCCCAATTCAAAGAGAGATCGTGACCATTTTTTTCAGTTTTTACAAGATGGGGGAAGAAGAAAACCTAGGATGGAATAACACGAGAGAGAGAAAAAACGCCATCTTGTCATTTTCTGATAGGATACAGGTGTTCGAATACTTTTGTGACCGACTGTAGATGCTAGTGTAATCATTACACATACTCTCTATCTTACTGAGACCTATAATTTGATTTTTTTTTTCTGTATTGTATCGGCCTTACTTTTCCTTTTATTTTGTATTACACATTTTTGTATGGCGTTTAACAAATTTCATATCAAATGCTGCATAATTATTTTTTTCTCAAACAAAATGGGCATTTTCTATTTGACTCTAGCTTGATTTTTCGCCCTGCGGGCGAAAAGACTGCAAAGGAAGATATCTGTCTACTTTGTCTGTCTGGCTGTCAAAAATCTCGTTTAAACAACAGTGGGATAAGTAGTGAATTTTTCCTCATGTTGTAGTTTAGTGATTTTGAGAACCATGGCTTCTAATGAAGCCAGAACGCAATCAAATTGCTATAATATCAGTACACAGTCACAGCTTCCGTGGGGTGTAAGGAAAGAGCGGCAGACATTTCCATCTGGTATAAATATTGACATTGAAGTGAAACCTGGTGAGTTTATTCTAAGAACTCTGTTTGCAGAATTCACAGTTCAAGCTGAACGGAAAATTGATTTGGTTCTTGCGGAACCTTTAGAAAGACCCCTCTCAAAATCGCTGCAAAGAGGAGAAGATGCTCTGTTTGATCAGCTTCTGAGTGCATTTGGTTCGGTTGCGGAGCATTGTTTGCCATCTCTGTTACGAACTCTGTTCGCTTGGTATGATCGTCAAGGAGTTGATTCTTCCCTGTCGCAAGAACATAGGCTGAGAGCAGATTCCAAAAATAAAAATGATTTACAAGAGAAAACAGAAAAGGATTATTTGCATGAAAGACGAGATCTTGCAGTTGAATTTATATTTTGTTTGGTGATTATAGAAGTTTTGAAACAGTTGTCAGTACATCCAGGACATGATGATTTAGTAAATTACATAGAAAATCTTGCTTTCAAGCATTTTCGATTCAGGGAAGGAGCACAAACAGGTCCAAATGCTCAGAATGTTAATATAATAGCCGATCTTTATGCTGAAGTCATAGGTGTTTTGGCGCAATCGCGATTTCAGTCTGTTAGGAAACGCTTTATGGCAGAATTGAAGGAGCTTCGTAGTAAAGAACCGAGTCCAATTACAACTCATAGTATTATTAGTTTATTAATGGGTATGAAATTTTTTCGTGTAAAAATGGTGCCAATTGAAGAATTTGAAGCATCATTCCAGTTTATGCAAGAATGTGCAACTTACTTTCTTGAAGTGAAAGATAAAGATATCAAGCATGCTTTAGCTGGATTATTTGTTGAAATTTTAGTACCTGTGGCAGCTACTGTTAAAAATGAAGTAAATGTACCTTGTTTGAAAACCTTTGTAGAAATGTTGTATTCACATACATTAGATCTTTGTACAAAAAAGAAACATAGTTTAGCTCTGTTTCCATTAGTTACTTGCTTGTTGTGTGTCAGTCAAAAGCCATTTTTTCTTCAAAATTGGCATTACTTTCTAGCCATGTGTTTATCTCATTTAAAAAATAGAGATCCAAAAATGTGTCGTGTTGCTCTAGAGTCACTCTATCGTTTATTATGGGTTTATATGATTAGAATTAAATGTGAAAGTAACACAGCTACTCAGAGTCGACTACAGAGTATTGTTAATTCCTTATTTCCTAAAGGATCAAAAGCTGTTGTACCAAGGGATACACCTTTGAATATATTTGTTAAGATAATACAGTTCATTGCTCAGGAAAGATTAGACTTTGCAATGAAGGAAATTGTTTTTGATTTGTTATCTGTGGGAAGACCCATTAAAATCATTCTCACGCCTGAACGTATGAGCATTGCTTTGAGAGCCTTTTTAGTTGTCGCTGATAGCTTGCAGCAAAAAGAAGGCGATCCTCCTATGCCAAGAACTGTTGGTGTTTTGCCATCAGGAAACACTCTTCGAGTTAAAAAGACTTTCCTAAATAAGATGCTGACTGATGAAACAGCTAGAACTATTGGAATGTCTCACTATCATCCATATGTGAGAAAAGTATTTGATGACATTTTGAAAGCTTTAGATGTTCAGTTTGGTCGTCCGCTTATGATGACCACTGTGCAAAATATCAATAAAGAACCTGATGATATGATAACTGGTGAAAGGAAGCCTAAAATAGATTTATTTCGCACATGTGTTGCAGCTGTTCCCAGATTAATACCTGATGGCATGAGTCGTCATGATTTAGTTGATCTTTTATCTCGTCTTACAGTACACATGGATGAGGAACTGCGAGCATTAGCTTTTCAGTCTCTTCAGAATATGACTCTTGATTTTCCTGATTGGAGAGAAGATGTTATTTATGGTTTTGTGCAATTTATGTTACGGGAAGTGAATGATACATTCCCTCAACTTCTTGATAATGCATTACGTATGTTATTACAGTTTCTTACAAACTGGAAGAATGCTGTGTCCTCTCAGTCTCAAAATTCTCTCAGGAAGGATTCTCGTGAACAGAATAAAATTGATCATTTATGTTCAGTGCTTCATCTAATTGAAGCCGTGGCTTTGGTAATGCTTTGTCACTGTCGACTTCCACCTCGACGATTGTCTGTTCATATCTTAAAGGAAACTAAAGCACTTTTGAAAACTTTAGTCCCAACATGTGAGGAAGATTATGTTGCTGAAACCATTGATCAGTGTTGTCCTTTAGTTGCAGAAAAGTGTCTTCCACTTTTACCACCTTCCGAGAAAGCAGCTTTGCTTTCTGCCTCTCACATTGATCTTCAGTGGCTGACAGAAAGAAATAGTTCAGTGTGGACATCAGGAATTCATGATATAACAGAGGGTTCAAATAAAGTGTCTAGTAACTTAGAAATAACAGATAATTCAGGAATAGATCCTTGGTGTGTATGTTTGTTAGGTTTCATTGACAATAGTAGTTTATTGAAAAGATGCCCAACAGCTGTTGCCCATTCTTGGCCTATAATATATTCAAGGATAACGACTCTTTTCAGTTATCTGGATCTTAATCCTGTAAGTGATAATAGAGCATCTTTATTACGACCAACAGTTGTGAAAAAGGCTCTTAATGAAAGAGAACTGCATCTGACTCTTTGGAGAAATTATTTAATGTTTGCCTGTCGAATTGCACCTCCAAACTGTTCTCCTCCTATGAGATTTATTGCACCTGAACTGAATCTAAGTTCATCACCAGATAGCGTAAGTTCTGAAAGATCTGACAGTCGGTCTCCTAATAATATGGGGGTTCAAGTATCAAGTCTTTTTAAACAAATTATTCCACTCCTTAGAAGTGAGCAAGCTGACATGCGAGATGCTATTGTTCTTGGATTATCTAAAGTTAATCATTTAGCTGTAAAAGATCTTATGGAAGAATTAGTTGTTTATATTAGGGAAGCCATAGATCGGAAACAAGAAAATGTTAGACGACGTCGGCGTCGAGATGTTCTTAGAGTACAGTTGGCCCGTGTTTTGGAACTTATTGCGGAGCAAGGGACATTTGGTATCAGTAATAGTGTCCTTGATAGAGATGCTTCCTCTTTGAATACAACATTTGTTGAATATATTGATGGAGCACGTTTATATCTTGAAACAGAAAATGATAAAGATGTTCCAAGTATTGTGCAAGAAATTAAACAACATTTTTGTGGATTTATCCATAAACTTATTAAAAGCTTTTCTTTAGAGAATAGGCATAATTTACTTGGCTGTGACTTATGGAGGAATCTTTTTTATCTGTTTGCTTCATGGAGTGGTAAATATAGTTCTCATTTTGGTATAGGTGACCGAAAAATTGTAAAAGAAGAACCATGCTCAGAATTTGAATTCTCCGCATTACAAGCTATGTCAGCTGTTTTGTGTTGTGGACCTTGTTTTGATCCTCAGGGTATTGGTGAAGAAGGACCATTTTATGCTTGGTTAAATGGCCTATTGAATTCTGATCTTGAAAAAGTATACCAATTAGGACAAGAAACTGTAGTACTCTTATTGGAATTTAATTCTGACTGTGGCACATTATTGGATTGGTTAGTTGACTGCTGTTATACTGGTGATACCCAGATGGCTGATGGTTGTTTCAATGCACTTGCCACAATTTTTAGTGTGCGGGAATATCCGTGTGACCATTATATGGCAATTATTAATGTGACGTTGCTCAATACTGGGTGTCCGCGAACCAAAATCCAAGAAACTGCATTTCAGTTGCTCCAGATTTTAGATCATCGTTTCTTTGGATCTAGTACATCTCTCCCTGTTGATGGTGAAACAGATGCTGTAAATAGAAATGTTGTGTTACGAAAAAAGCCACCTCAGTTTTGCGATGCATTATTTTCATCAGGCTATCCTTGTACGCAAATGCAACTTTCACATCATCTAGCTCAAATGCATCCTGAGTTAACTATGCCAATATTTTCTGAAATAACTAGTAGGCTTCAAACTGCACGCCCACCAGTCAGACAGAATTTATTACAATATATTTTACCTTGGCTGTACAATATGGAGTTGGTTGACCCTAATATTACTCACTGCAGCCCACTTCCTCACCTGAGTCGTATTCAAGAATTTTGTTCTACAGAAACTTGCCAGAGTATTGCTTTAGAACGTAGAGAAGGTTGGGGTTCAGCAGAAGCAACAGAAATGGTATTAAATAATCTTTTTTACATAACTGCTAAATTTGGTGATAGCCATCCTCATGAAATTGAAGAACTCTGGGCATCCTTGTGCAAATGTTGGCCAAATAATTTAAAAATTATTATTAGATATCTTTTTATAATAACAGGTCTAGCCTCAAATGAACTGCTTGTATATGCCAAACGAGTTGTATTATTTATGGCTAAAGCAAGACCAGAAAAATTACTGGATGAAATGATGGCTGATATGCAAACTGTAGAAACATTAAACTGCCTGATAGAAAGGACAGAAACACCTCCATTCTTTCGAGTAACTAGTGTTCGCAAAGAAAGTAGTCATTCAGATGATGGAGGGTCCAGCTCACAGCCGGATGCTCCAAGGAGTGAAATAACTCTTGAGCGAGGAACTCTTCATACAAAAAGACACAGCACAGAGAGTGGTTGTGAGAAAGACAGTCAAATCAGAAAAGATCTTTGTGGATCTGAATCAGTTCAGAATACCTGTAGTATAGCAAACACTGGTAAAGTCAATCCTGGTCCATCTTCTACAACTGCTAGTGATGATGGACAAAATACTATAATTTCTTCAGTTGAAGAAGAAAATTTTCTGCTTTTATGTCACGTTCCTGAGGAGGATAACGTGAAACCAGAAACACCTCAGCCACATCCTTTACCAATGCCAGAATTTGGTGGATATTATGCTCCTTTAACTGAATTTCTTCCAGATAGTTCTCAACCTGTTACTGGATTTCATCGTTGTAATTTAGCTGTGATGCTGTTGGCTGATGTTTTAGATGGTATAAATATTGATTGGTCTCCCCATGTTCCGTTAATGCTTCATGTTATATTTCTAGGTCTAGATCATACACGTCCTCTAGTACATGAACACTGTAAGACACTTTTGTTAAAATTATTAATTGTTTTAACGAAACATGAAGATCACTTGGGTGTTGCAAAAATCCTCTTGAATAATAAGACTCAAGAGCTAGGTTATGGTCTTCCAATTCAGACTTTAGTGACAAAAATCAATTTCACTGAGCAGAAACTTTTTGAAGAACCGGACATTACTGAAGAAATAAATGCTTCGTCTGTATATGAAACTGAGTCCAATTCAAGCCGAGAGCAAGATAATGGCTCATGTGAAACACTTGCAAATCATGAAGCCACAAAAACTCATATTTTAGATAGCAGCTGCATCACTCCAAATGTTAATGATACTATAAAATCTCTAATTGATTTCCTAGCTGCAAAGAAAGGTCATGCTTTGTGGAGCTATGAGGATATCACTGCAAAAGTATGGTCTGTGAAAAGTGCTGAACAATTAACAACATTTTTACAGCATGTGTTATTTGTATTTAAGGAATCTATTCCAATGGCTCATATTCAAGATCGTTGGGCTCAGATAGCCCTACAGTTAGCACTTTCTTGCTCATCACGGCATTATGCTGGGCGATCACTTCAGATATTTAGAGCTTTGAAAGTGCCTCTTAATGCTCGAATGTTATCAGATATCTTGTCACGTCTTGTTGAAACTGTGACAGAACAAGGAGAGGATATGCAAGGTTATGTTACTGAACTGATGCTCACTCTTGAGGAAGCAATTACTTCATTAGATTCTGCTTTCAAAATAAGTGATATCATGAAGGACTTCTTCAAATCAACTCCAAATCTCAATAAAGAGAGTAATCGTAAAAGTGCTCCACCAATAACAGTTACTCATTCTGGGCATGGTAGCGGTTCAAGCAACCCTTTACCCATGTCAGTTCATCATCAACGTAGTACATCATATTCTGGAAGAAAATATCCAGATTCCCCATCAGTTGAAATAAAAGACCTACGAAACCGTAGCAGTACTGATATTGATGTTAGATTACGCTCAAATAATCTGGGAAGATCTAGAAGTGCACAGTCATTAAAGATGGCAGATGAACAGTTTTCTCAAGAGGACAGAATGGCACTTCTAGCTCAATTTTTTTGGATAGCTGTTTCATTACTAGAATCAGATTATGAACATGAATTTTTATTAGCTATAAGGTTACTTGAGAAAGTTATGACAAAATTACCTCTTGAACGAACTGATTGTCAAGAAAAATTAGAGAAAATACAAATGCAAATAAAATGGTCAAATTTTCCTGGTGTTCATGCACTGCTACTTAAAGGGTGTGCATCACCTACCACATTTGATGGTACCATCAAAATTTTAAGTCAATTTACTGGTTTGTTAGATATTCCTATTGTTGATCCATCAGAGTCTTTGGCTTTCCCATTTCATGTCATGGCTTTACTACCTTATTTACTATTAAATTATGATGATCCCAATAATCTGTGTATCAAGAGTGCTGAAAACATAGCTCAGGTATGCATGGAGAAATCAAAAAAATTAGAAAATCTGGCTACTGTCATGATGTTGTACAGCAGACGTTCTTTTAGCAAGGAGAGCTTTCAGTGGACAAAATGTGTTGTTAAGTATTTGTATGATGCCTATTGTCATGTATTTCTAAATCTGATTACATTTTTAGTTGAAATTTTAGAAAAAGGGCCACAAAATCTTACACTACATGTCCTTGGCATCTTGTATTGTGTGTTGCATTATTTAGATGTAACTTGTTCTGCTCAGGCTATCAATTCTGATCTATTAAGAGTAATCTCAAGATTTATTGAGGGCCCACAATGGAAAGATGCTTTGAAAATATTGAAATTGGTTGTTACTCGGTCGTCAACACTTGCTGCGCCACCTGCTCCTTTTAGTGTTGGCAGTTCTGCAGCTGATAGTGTAAGCATTGCATCTAATACGTCTTTTGCTGATTCAGAATTTGGAACAAAACGAGAATTGCCTGGTAGAACAATGGAATTCACTATTGATTTGTCTCTCACTCCTATAGTTGGACAAAGATATCTCTTGAAAGATAGTCCTAAAGAAGGAGATAAAGAAGGATCTACTGCTTCGCCTAGACGTAGCCTATCTCATAATCATTCTTTTACAGAAAATGGATCTGTGGGTTGGAAGCGTCCATGGCTTTCCCAAGCTAGAACAAGAGAACATTTAATTGGATTACTCACTAGCTGTGGACAAAGAGTAGGTTTGCCAAAAAGTCCATCTGTTATATTTAGCCAGAGTAGTGATATCATTGAGCACCAGTCTTCAATGTGCAGTAGCACTGAAGAAATATCAGCTACTAATAATGAATCTGCTGATAGTAAACTTGAAGATGGCCATCCAGAACATGCACAATTTGGTGTTTTCAAAGATTTTGATTTCTTAGAATATGAATTAGAAAGCCAAGAAGGAGAAAGTATGGATAATTTCAATTGGGGTGTTCGTCGACGATCGCTTACGAATTATGATGGTAGTGCTGATGACATTTCAAAACCAAAATTGAGCCTGAATATGAGTAATTCAACTCTGAGTCCTCGCAAGGAGGAATCATCTGATGATGAAATGGGAAGTGTTTCCCCTCTAGATGATGTGCATCCTGACTTACCTAGCAGTAGTAGTGGATACGTATTTCCACCAAGTTCCTTGCCACTGTCTGAACACAGGCGAAGACCCATTAGTCCAGCCTCTGGCTCAACTCATAGTATGGCGAGTGATGGAGATTTAACTTTGAGTAACACTTCACCCAGTTTCTCACCATTGGCAGCAATACATTTACCACCTGGTTCAGAAGATATTGAAGATTTATGGAGATCTCATGTACGAGACTTGATGACAGATACTAGTGGAAATATTGCTGCAAACACATACCAGGCTATGTCTCGTTTGTTTAAGGAGATGTTTAGAAGAGTAACCAGATTAACACGAGAATGTTGTCAGATGATTTCCCATGTAGATGCTTTTCGAAATGTTGCATCACATTTTCTTACAATGCTTGACATTCTCATTAGTCAGGTTGAATGTCCTTTTATTTATATTGATCCAGAAATAATGTTAAATCTTGAACGACATAAATTTTGTGTTCTTGAGATACAAGAACATTGGGAAACTTTCTTAGAAAAACAAGAACATACAATGGAATGCATGGATAGTATGAAATCTGCTAATAAACTAGAGCAACTTGGTGAAGCTATTCCTGAAGGAACAATTGAAGAACATCAGGTTGATCTTTGCCGATGTTTATATAAGTTACATTTTCAACTTTTACTTTTACTGGAAAGTTATGTTAAACTCTTATCACTACTAGTTGCTGGTGTTCAACAAGCACATATTGTTGACTTGTCACAGGACATTACATTAGTAAAGAATGAAGTAATGAGAGCAGTAGAAGATACGGAGAGTGATAGATTATCACCTTCTGAGCAACCTGAAGTGTCAACTTTATCTCAGCAAGAAGCTGAAGCAATTTTACTTGATCTTGTACATTCTCATAAGTGGGGAAAAGCCATAAGACATTTACATTGCTATCGTAGTTTATTTCCTGGCTCAATGTTTGGAAATTCAGAAGAAGATGATGTTGATGTTATACTTGGAATATATGCAAAACATTTGTGTGAAAATCGAACAGGCTTTTTCATGATGTCGCAAGAAGAACATGATATAGCAGATGTTTGTCGTCTTCTAATGGATGTTAGTCTTCAGTTGTCATCAGTTTTGCATAATTTAGAACATTCACAGCAAGAAAGAAACCATGATCACTCTTTTCGCAGATCTGAGTGCTGAAATTATTTATTGGAAATGCAGTACAACATTTTTTTTTTCATCAATTAAGACACGTACAGTTTATCTGCACCAGGTACTGTTAATTGCAGATTTTTGAACTTTTAAATATGGTTTGCCTTGCAACAGCTTATAATTTTACTTAAAACCTAATTAAGGCTAATCTTTGGAATATAGTAACAGGTAGTTTGGCGACATTTTGGTAAGGCGATAAAGGTTACTAGCTAGGACGTTAGCAGTGTACATGGATAAAGTCAAGAGTGTGCGCAATGCCATTTTGTGCAATTCTGGGATTTTTTTTAAGTGAAAATAGGTCGACGTGTACATGGATACCGTGCATGTGCAATTCTTAAAAATGCAGCAAGCAGTGGGCGATTCTGCACTTTCTCCCAATTTCGCACCTGATCTTCGTCATGATTAAGCACTTTTGTTCCATAAAAGTTCTAGCATAAGCGTAATTCAGCTAGCAGATTGTTGGAAAAAAATTTTTGAGTTAAAAAAAAAAAATGCCTTTACTTCGTGAAAACAAAATGGCATCCAAAAAAAAAAAAAAAAACTAGGAGGTTGCTGTAGCAGGGTTAGTCGCCAAATTTTCGCCAAAAAAGTTACCATAATCCGAAGATTAACCCCTAATTAATTACAATCTGAACAGAATCAGGTATTGTACTTTTTCAGGTAAAACAGTCAGTACTTTAGTTCAGTAAATCCAAAAATTCCATAACCTTGTTTTTTAATGTTGCATTATGTTGTAATTTTAATGGATTCCATATTATGCACGGTATGCTAATCATTAGAGGCTACATTGATTACTTTAGAATACTTACTACTTTAGAATGCTATAAATATACAGTTGCAGTCATTCAGTTTTCCTGAATTTCAACATGCAGCTCCTACTGTCATGAAATTTGCCCATCCCTATCTATACATAGATAACGATTACATATGGTTTTATTGCAACACTCTTATAATGAAAGCAGGAAATTGTTAAGTGTTATTAAAATATTTTCTCTTATGTTTTTTAATATGCCCCTTCTAATGAGAGCTAATGTTATGCTTATTGGCACAATATAAATCCAGTATTGCTATAAATTCTCAGGTACTTATATATTAGCTGCCATGCAGTGATGCACTGTGAAGAGTATCACCCATGACAACTTTTAGAGTTGCCACAATACTTGCATAAAATCAAAGCCATGAATCAATTTCTAGATCTGCCTTATTAACTGCAGAGGAGCAGAATTGTGGGTTGTAATGCTGGGGATTATAATTTGTTGTGGCTAGTGTGCAAGTACCAGTTTTTTTGGGGGGGTGGGTGAGAGATGTTTTTGATGAGAGTACAGTTTTTATCAGTATCTAATTTGTACTATTATATCTAGAGTCGTAGCTAGGGTTTTCAGTGCCCAAGGACAACTGAAGATTTTGTGCCCCCTACTGCTTGCCAAGGATGGAAAACATTTAATTCTAAAATGTCGTAACATCAGTTTGGCGCCTCTTGGATTCTGCGCCCGGGGACAGATGCCCCCCTCTAGTTATGCCCCTGGTTATATCAGATATGATATCAAATTCTTGTACCTGATATTTTTTATATTTTGTTATAAAATATGAAACACTTTGGGCTAAGTCATTCAAACAATCTAGTGAAAAAAAATTTTTTTAAAGATTTTTGGTTACTTTAAACAGTGCTTTTCAAGATTAAAATGAGTACTACATTATGTCAAGTACGGCTGGAATGAGAAATTTTGGTCTTATGAATAGTGTGCAGGTATGTCATGACTTAGTGCTTTTTATTGGATGCTTTTTTATTGCTTAAGACAATTACAATAATTTTAATTTATTTTTCTCGTAGCGTTTGTCATATTGTAGTAAACTATATTGAACTGTTTTCTATCTAAAAGCATTGTCCAACTTGTGTACAAAAAATGCTGAGTTACCCCTTCTTAATTCTGATTATCACACCCCTTTCGAAAAGTTGTGTAAAAGTATTCATGAGACAAAAATCCGATTTTTGTGAAAATATATTTATGTGGCAACTCATGTATGTATATAGTCCAAGTCTGTTTTGGCCAGTGTGCAATGGTAGCTTGTATGGCTGCTAAGTTTTTGTAGTTCTCCGATGTTATTTCTAAGTGAAAAGATATAGAAAGTACATGGGAAGAAATTTCTTGAAAAAGGTATGTTTTTATAACCAGCATTTCTTGCCTTTTTAGTTTTATTGCTTGACTGCTTTTGCATGAAATTCTTAATTCACAAACTTTTTTAAAGTGGCGGATGATTTTCGTGCTCTAGTTTGGTGAAAAATTAGTTGTCACTGAGCAGGTCCAAATTAAGATTATTAAAGATACTAAGCTCTTAAAAACTTTTGATGCCTCCACATATGTTTATCCATCTCTTTCTTCATTTTTTCTCTTTTCTTGGGTTTTTAGCTGCACCATGCATTCCATGGTAAAAGTGGCGATGGGAAATTTTTTTTTTTTTTTTTTTTTTTTTTGTCTTTTTTCCCTGATGCCCTAAGCACATGCTTATAGTGCTTAATTTTTAATCCAGCCCTGCCATTGAGTTTGCGAATGCTCTTCAAAGTTGTCGATGAGTTTATGGCATTTTAATGAGGGTGTAGATAATTAGGAAGTATTGTGTGAATGACTTAATAAAAAATTTGTTGCGTTTGAATGCATGAATGCTTTTCAAAGTCACCAGTGAGTTGGTGACTTTATGTGAGGGTGCAGGTAATCAGAAGTTATAATTTTTTTTTTTATTTCTTAACGACACTTATTTATTATGAAAGGTGTCAATTTAACATTTATTATTTTTTTTAATTTTCTCCTGATATTACAAAATATCATGTAAGAGACATAGAAATTATAAATTACATTGTGTAATGTATAATCATTCATGGCTGCATCGAATATAATATTATGCTATGCCATTCTAAAAATAATAGCCTTTTTGTATCATCTTGGTGTTTTATTGATGTATTGTAAGAGTTCTTTATTTATTCATGATGCATAGTTATTTCTAAATATTTAGTTTCAGACCATTTCATATTAATTTTTAGTCTATAATATGGGCTTTTATGTATTTATTCAACTAAATTCTGAACTGACAAGCTCAGGTTTTTAGTTATATTGATCTGAAATTTTTTATGCTATTATTATTGAACGATTGAAACTAAATTCTGTGAAAAAATTTGCCTAATTTTTAATTTACAAAAATTAATGACTAAAAAGTACCCTTGTTTTAGGACACTTCAAGTACGAGACATATCTTGTGTGACTATTTAGGTGCTTACATACTTTTGCAACCACCCTAGTAGAAGTCTCCAAACTCTGGCAACCATGTGCATAACAGTTTTTTAGGTAACCATATCCATTGTAAGTTGTAATCTGAAAATTCACTAAATCACCTTTTTCATTTGTAAAAAATTGACAAACTGCCACAAGGTGGTTGCACTAATATGTTAAGTACCAATATTTATTTTGTATTACATGATAAGCTTAGAAAATCTATATCTCAGAAAAATTTGAGTAAACACTTGTATAATTTAGAAAACTAAATAATGCTTGTAAGTGAGCTGCTTCTCTATAATGCTTCAAATGAGAATATATAGCTTGCGTGAATGTTAACTTTGGTTAGAGTAGACTGAAAGGTACCCCTTGTATCACAAAGTTTCTATAATGCTTCAAATGAGAATATATAGCTTGCGTGAATGTTAACTTTGGTTAGAGTAGACTGAAAGGTACCCCTTGTATCGCAAAGTTGTTGTTTTGTTTATCATCAAGTTGTTGTTTCATTTATAAATAAACCTGAGTAGTTGAATGTTCCATAAATATACTTTTACCTAGAATTGGGTGCTCCTTTACATGTATATGGATAAAATCAAGAGAGTGTGCAATGCCTAGTTTGTGCAATTCTGTGAATTTTTTTAAGTGAAATAGGTCAGTGTGTATATGAATACCGAGTTTGTGCAATTCTATATCTCAGAAAAATTTATTATTTTGTCTTTGTGTAGTGGCGAGTTTTGGTGCTAAAATCGCCGCTGCACAAACAAAAATAACAATAACAGAATTGAACAAGCTCAGCATCTATGTGCTGCCAACAATCACCAATTTTCGCCAAGGGGTGCCCGTAAATATACTTGTACCCTTATTTTTATGTAACAGTAGTAGACCAGTGCTTTTTCCAGTGCAAATGAATAAACACTTGTTAATTAAATCTGAAATTTCATGTTAAGAATTTTTTGTCAGGTACTGAATGAATGCCTAATTTTAAAATTTAGTAAATAATATTAAGGAAATGATGGTGTATTTAAAATCATGGAGATGAATTATTTATTAATTGTGAATGTATATTAAAGTTTAAACTTCCTTAAATATTTATTTAGATATTTCTTTAGACTTTTTCTTTGTCAATATACTAGAAAACAAGTTTTAGGAATTTAATAAGTTATTAATGAACTTTCTGGTATTTTTTTTCACTTCTTAATTTTAAATATTATAGTATATGTAATTTGTTAAAATATGTGCATGCATATATTTTTTTTTGTGGTTAATAACATTGTTATAAATACAGTACATAGAATAATTTTTTTTAAAATAAATAACAAAGTTTGAATTTTTTAATAAAGATTTAAGTTTTAATTAATTATTTATTTCCAAAAATTTTTTCTTAAAAATTTATAGTTTAAGTTAGTTCTAATTAGTTATCATTTTCTACTTGTACAGTTCTATTTGTACCACTTAATATGAACACAGTTAATGTTATTATTCAGATATTGTTATGAATTGCAAAAGTCTGCTGTTTGTATGCAAAGAAATGGAAAAGAGATTTAAGTTTTAATTATTATTCATTTCAAAAAATATTTTTTCTAAAAATTTAGTATTTCTAATTAGTTATCATTTTCTACTTGTACAGTTTCTATTTGTACCACTTAATACGAGCACAGTTAATGTTATTCTTCGGATATTGTTATGGAATTGCAAAAGTCCTGCTGTTTGTATGCAAAGAAATGGAAAATACATTGCTTATTGTGATTAACAGTTCAATTAATATGATCAAAATATTATAGAATAAATTTTAAAAGTTGGAATCACCAAATAAGTTCAAAATTGATTAGGAAAATTGCCAACTGAAAGAGAACATAACTTTTAATTTTTCAGTAACACTTGGCTCTTTTATTTTTATTCATTCTTTTGATGTAATTATGAATGCATGATACTTTCTCAGGGGCGTAGCTAAAGTTTCCAGCGCCCGGGGACAACTGAAGAATTTGTGCCCCTTTCTGTGTGCCAAAAATGGAAAATATTTCATTAAAAAAGTTTGTAGCATCAATTTGGCACTCCTTCGATGCTGTGCCCCGGGGACAGATGTCCCCCCCTTGCCTTACCCTAGCTACGCCACTGTACTTTCTGGTATTTTTTTTTTTTTCTCAGTTCTTAATTTTAAATTGTACTTACTGCTTTTAGAACTTTCTTTTATGATGCAGTGACGTACTGAATTGCCATTTTCAAGATATAAATTTGAGTAATATACTTAATAAATCAGTGTCTGCATAATTTTCTTGCATAAATCTTGTACATGTAATCATAAATCTTTTTCTTGTAAAAATTTTGTACAGTTAACATAAGTACTTATGTAAGCCAATGAACATAAGTACTTATGTAACTTATATGTGTTTTGGGAGCTGTTTTTCTATGTCCATCTGTTCATTGGCTGTGCATTTTCTGTCATTTGCTAGTATGTCTTAACAGATATTTGCATATTAAGTTTCAAGATTTCCAGATGGTTTTTATACGTGCATAAAGTTTTTCACATATATATATGTATAACTTTTTAACACGTTGTTTCTTCTTTTAATGTAAGCCAATGAACATAAGTACTTATGTAACTTATATGTGTTTTGGGAGCTGTTTTTCTATGTCCATCTGTTCATTGGCTGCGCATTTTCTGTCATTTGCTTGTATGTCTTAACAGATATTTGCATATTAAATTTCAAGATTTCCAGATGGTTTTTATACGTGCATAAAGTTTTTCACATATATATATGTATAACTTTTTAACACGTTGTTTCTTCTTTTTATGTAGGTAGTAATATTGATATTTACCACTTTTTACCTGTGTTTTGTTTATAACTCAAACCCTTACATTTGATGCTTCAATTTGCTCATTCTGGTTTAATGATTTTTTTTTTTTTTTTACATGTAAATTGATTTTATTCATATTTCTTTGTAGTGTAATATATTATTACATACACAAGTAATGTTTAATTTTGCTTTTACTAGTGTTATATGTTATGAATTATTAATATGTTTTAGTGGCCTACAGTCATTTGAAATCTTAAAAAAAGGGGGTGGTAGATTTTGATTATTTACAGTGTTTAACAGTGCTGTAAATCATAATTTGCCTAATAAGTGAGAGATATTTACATATCAATTGAAACAATATGAGAAATTTATTAGTTATGGAATAAATTTGCATTATACACTTGAACTTATATATTATTGCCATTTAGGTATGTTTGCAAATTATAATTAGTTAAATGGAGGTCAAATAAAAGGGTCAATATATATTTTTATTTTTTAAGTATTTTTTTAATTAAAAGAATCTCTGTTTAACTTTATGATATACCTTGATTTTGACTTTTTAATATATGTAGCTGATTATCTGATCATATCTTGTCCTACCTGAGATAATTGCTCTAACAATGTAAAACTGATTGTTATCACACATCACACAATCTTATTTATTGACATATATTGTGCGTCATACAACATATTTGTTGTTTTCCTCTCATATAAGGTAGGTAGCATTTTTTAGAAAAAAAATTGGCCTGAGTTGCACATATTTCTCTATGTTAATCAGACTAGATGTTAATCAGTCATCTCTATGTTAAAAAATTTTAATTGTTTTTTGTCCTATAGAAAAAAAAAATTTTTTTTCTTGCAGTCATATCTTGCATTTCTTTCAGGCATAAAAACTGCACTAGTTCAGAATCTTTTTGCTGCTTCAACTACCTGATAGCTGTTTCTAAGTAATTAAAGAATTTAATATTTGAAGGGCCTGGATTATTTTAGCAACAAGTTGTTCTGCCTTTTCTGGATTTTAGTTTGTCTTGAACAGATAATACAGTTCTTTCATGATAAAACGTTTGGTACCCAGTATCATTTGCATGGACCTTTCTCTATATTGATTTTCATCATTATAATAGATTTCTTTCTTTTCTTCTCAAATTCATTTTGCATTCCTGTTATTCAATACCATTCAATTTCATTAGCATATTCTTTTCTCCTGCTTAAACTTGATTCCAAGCTTTTTTTAAATTACAGATCATTACAATGTTCTTATCCAACATGGCTTATTTTTGAACTTCTTTCTGAAGTCATGATATTTGTTGAAATTATTGCCTGTATACAGTTTGAAAAACAAAAGTGTCTTCTTTTACATGGGATGAGGAATTAACTAGCCAATTGAATATTTTTCACAGAAACCATATTAGCAAAATATTGTCATTGGGCGAGAAAGAATTTTTGTTTTTGTTTTGTTCACACTGCAGTTGTGATTAAAGTTTGACCTTAGAACAGGACTGTTTGGATAACCAGCCTTCTCTTGTTCTGTTATCTATTTTGTTGTAATATATTTTAAATCAGACCTTGTCTAATTCACTTAATAATGAACAATTAAAAAATAATCTCTGCATAGGGAATAAAATTGCATCACTTTAAAAAAAGCATACAATTTTAATGTATGCTGTATATCAGTGAAATATCAGTATAGATTAACCCTCTGATTAACTGACTTCTATGGGACTGAACTTGGATAAAAAAGCAGAATGACCTGTTAAATCGTTAAAAGCATACAAAATAGTGTTTATCCATTTAGAATCAGATTAATAAGGTATGTATGTTATGTATAAATATTTCTTAAACATTATGGGTGCATTATTAAACATTTATGGGTGCTTTTCTGTTAGCAGGGTACTACTTAGCCCCAAACATAAATGTTTATGATTAGCGTAAAATCTAATTAAAGGGCATCAACTCTACACAAAGTCCGAAATCCGGACGTCCATTATCCGGAATGATCTAAAATCCCGACCTCAAAACCAACAAAATTTTTCTCGTAGGCTTTACACATGCGCATTTGATTTCTCCCTCCACGCTTAATAAAACATCTGGAGAGTCCCGATTCTTAATTTCACTTCGACACTAAATAAAATACCTTGTTACTTATTAAACCATCAATTTAGCATAAATTTGAACGATCAGTAATTTGGCTCCGTTGCGTATTTGCTTGGCAGGCATCTCAAACTGAAACATTCCACATAGATACATCGTTGATCTGACGTCAACCTGGCGAATCATTATTTATTATACTTTCCTTTCATTACCGCATGTTTATCAAAACATGGCAACTTGAGTAATGACTCATGTAGCGATATTTTTTTTATGTTAGTATTTGAAAAATAAAGGAATGTGGTAACCTTTTATGTTGACATTACGCTTGTCGCTGGTTACAGATTTCAGTTGTGCTAAAAAATGCTAACGAGGAAAAATTTACCAAAAATTTCTTTCCATATGCTAAAAACAGATTTTGTCGATGATACTCATAGACCCAAAGATTACATTTAGGGCTATATGAATTAAGAATAACTGATTTGTTATTCGCATAAACCCAGCCCTCAATAAGGTTAACCCTTTCCGGCACGCTACCTTTTAAAGTCGGAGCTTTGATTTAAAAAAAAAAAAAAAAAGGTAGGCAGTCTAATTAGGCCTAGAGGAGTACACAAGTAAAATTTTGTGAAGATAGCACTTATCGCTTATTTCTGTGGGTCTGCCCGAAGAGGGCACACTGATTGAATAGAGTTTCGAAAAGAGTGCTGAAACGAGCATTGTTGTCAATGGACTGACCGATGAGATGCGGAGAACAAAGAATACAGTCTCTCAGTTTTCCTAGAGTCTTGGTGTGCCCGGTCTGGGAACACCTCGGGTTCGCCGTTCGATTTTAGGCAATATTGCTAAGAATTAGCAAGCAATTTGGTAAAAGGACTGTAATCGCCAATATGCCAAAAATAATTGGGGCCACAAAAAAAAAAAAAAAAAAAAAAAAAAAAAACAAAAAAAAAAAAAAAAAAAAAAAAAAAAAAACAAAAAAAAAAAAAAAAAAGCAAAAAAAAAAAAAAAAAAAAAAAAAAAAAAAAAAAAAAAAAAAAAAAGAAAAGGAAGGATAATGAAATAGTATCTAATTGAGTTTTAATTTATGAAAAGTTAATTTCAATAATACTTTTTTATTATTATAATTTATAGAAAAAGGCAAAACTGACCGAATGGAAGCATAGAGTAAAACTATTTCAGATCGTTATTATAATTTATATAAAATTGCTAAAAAACTGAATGGATGCCTGCATCTCTATTTCGCTACCGAGTTATCGCAAAGCATAATTTTATCACGTTGGTTTCAAACATAATTTTCTATAATGATGATGCCTTTTCTTTG